GACTCTGATCCACATGTCTTCAGTCAGTCCTGGACCCTATGACTCTGTTCCACATGTCTTTAGTCAGTCCTGGACCCTATGACTCTGTTCCACATGTCTTCAGTCAGTCCTGGACCCTATGACTCTGTTCCACATGTCTTCAGTCAGTCCTGGACCCTATGACTCTGTTCCACATGTCTTCAGTCAGTTCTGGACCCTATAACTCGGACACTAGTTCTACCAAGGCCTATTAGAGGTAAGAGCGGTAGAAGAGGAGTGGAGTTATCTTTGTATTTAGGCTGCAAGTCGACAAAGGTGATCAAATGCTGATGCTAATAATGATCCGATTCATTTGATATTGATTGTCTGCCAATACCGAATCCTGATCCGATTCTTCTATTACCCAGATAATACAGCTGCACCGTGTACACTAGCTCTATTGGTTTTTGCCATTGTAAATAACCATAAGCAATTGCTGACTGTAACGTCTAGATGCCAACCAACTGCAATTTGTAATGTATTTTACCATACTTTAACGGTCAAGTTCTGGCAACCACAGCAGCCCAAATGTTATCGTAAATGTCAAGTTTTCTTTTTACAGTGTACTTATATCTGTACATTTCTTTTCAGTTTGCTTGAAGAAGTGGCTTCAGCAGACAGAAATGCAGGACGCTACACAACGGGAAACATTATGGACATGAACAAGGAAAAACAAAAAACACTTTCTTTGTTGCCTTTTTCTTATCATACATAGTATTACTGTTTTTGTTACCATTTAGATATTGAATTCTATGTATTACTTTTATTTTAAATTAAATGCACCTGTTTTAGATAATGTATTTATTTTTGATGTATAGGTTGATTTGCAGGTTGGTTGTTATTTGTATAATTATTGTATTGTTACTGTGTATTTGTATTATATTAACTAGCTATTTATTGCTATTTATTAAATTAAAATACTGTTGTGAACAATGTCTTTATTTTTGGTAGATACCAGAATACATGACACAATGAATCTTTCTAATATATTTATGTTTGGTTTAAATAATCATACCAGTATTTAAACAATGTTTGCTGGTCAGCTGGAATCCTTATAAGCTTCCAGCATGATATATGTAATATTATTATTAAACATAAGCTGGTGATGGATGGATGCTGATGCTGTTTTTTTTAGCTGGCCATGATGGCTGGTTTAGCTGGTGGCTGGTTTAGCTGGTGCACCAGTTAAACCAGCCACCAGCAAAGTGTCCAAAACCCCTCTAAACCAACCAACCATCCAGCCTAATATCTACTGGCTGGTCAGGCTGGTCAACTTAGCTGTTTTTTTCAGCAGGGTAAAGTTTACTGATGTGACATTAAAAAGAAAACATGAAAAATAGTTTTACATTTCAATGCATGATTTTTAAGTGTATATTAAATAATGTACTTACAAAGTACAGGGATTAGTTAAGAAGTAAACAGGGGATTATCTGTAAAATATTAGCTTACATCTGACATGTAGAAGTTTAAGGTATCGAAAATGCATTGTACAAATTGACTTATGTTTGACTTTATAAATAAGAAAAACATGTAAGACTAAATACTCTAGTATAAAAAGCAGCATTAAAATGGGCTTATATAAGACAGTGGGGTAAAAGAAAATTAAATATATTAGTTATTGCAATTATTTTGTTTCTAAATGTGAAGCCAGAGCAGCTCCATAACTCTTCCGTAGTGAAAGCGGAACTAAAGTGCTGGTCATGTGATTCCTGTCAGGACTCGTTTCGGAGCGGACTGTTTACCTTCCGCTGCTGACAGGAGGAATGCTCATCTTTCTGTCATCATGTACTCTCACGGCTCAGAGAGTTTAATTAAACAAGCAAGGTAATGAAACTTAAAAAGAAGAACTTTATCCTTCATGTTCAACCCTTCTCTTCAGCTGGTTTACACACTTCCAGTTAGCATTTCCGCTGCTAAGCTAACTAGGCTGAAGCTAGGTAAACTGTCAAAACCTTAATATGCTTTGTTGCTTTTATTGTTAACGTTCATTTTTGCGTTACTTTTACATCTGTTTATATCCATTCGGAGGGCTAACAATGGTTCTTATTAACAAGAATGTTGTGTTTTTATTGGTCATTTATTTAGACAAGATAAGGTATTGTTACTTTTTACAGGTTAACAACCTAAAGTGGACATTTTCAACGAGACCTCAAGATAACAAAATTGTAGCTTGTTATTAGCGACACCCCCGTTTAGTTGGTCTTTTAATGATGTTGTGATATAACTTTGAGCTGCACCTGCTGTATGAGAAGTGCTGTTCAAATAAAGCTTTATTTATTATTATAATTTGTATCTAAGGACAGATCAGCTAGTCGATTAATATGCTGTCAATCAGCCAGAGTGTGACATATTTTAGACAACGGTATGAAGGGCTTGGAAAAGACAAAAGTAGGTGTGCTGTGTGTTTTTCAGGGAGATCCAGGACTCTGAGCTGCAGAAGTTCTACAGCCGGCTGGTGAAGCTGCTCCATGGGAAGGAGCTGGGTTACGAGACGGTGGACTCGCTGCAGAGGCTGCACCTCATCCTCTCCGCCAACAAGTACATCCGGACGTAAGAGATCCAGCCTGCACCTCCCAGACACCATCCACCTCCCTCATTCCTTTCAACCTGCTCCATCATTATCCAACGTCACCCTCTTTCACTTCCTTTTCCTCCCTCTGACTCTCCTCTGATCCCCCATGTTTCTGTGTGAGGTTCTTGCCTGCCAAAACAAAAACAGCCACAATGTGAAGCTTCAGTGTTTCCCCTATATACATTCAGCAGCGGTGCTGCGCCGCTGCTGAATGTATGCCACCGCTGCTACCGGGCGCCAGCCAGGTACCAAAAAAAAAACATTTTGAATACATTCAAAATAATAATCTGTGGCCACACAGCCTCTTTGAGCGAGCGAGACAGAGAGAGAGAGAGAGAGCGAGAGCTAGAGAGCTATAGAGAGCACACCTTGAAATATTTAATATAGTTGTAAAAAATAAAGTAAGAAATCATTCCAGTGTGTACTACAGGACAGTAAAAAAAAAAAACAGTTTAAAAGGGGAGTTATTAGTAAAATATGCATAAATAAAAAGAAAGAATGCTAACTAGGTAACATAAGATAAGAATAAACCAGTTTAAATGATTTGTTATTGGTTGTGATCATATTCTAAAGATGTTTGGATTATTTAAAAGTATACAGCTCCCTTTCACATGAGTGTTGAGAGCTGTATCCATCAATTTATTTTGGGCACAAAGTGCACCAGATTGATGCATTTCACTTTGACATTTAAAAAAAAAAAACTCTTCCGGGGGTGCATGCCCCCGGACCCCCCTAGAGGAGGTGAGGTCCACCCCCAAATATAGCAGGTTAAAATAATTAAATTGCATACATTTTATTTTGATTGTTTGTTATGTGGATGTGTAGTATTTGTGTTACGATATGTTCAATAAAGGTGATTCAGCAAAATACATCTGTAGAGCCTCAAGAGCCTTTCTTGTGCTGGCACACATATAGAAACATGTTGGCGGGGCGCACTTCGCACACACAAAAAAATTCAACGCGCTCCGCGCTCACATTTAGCTGGGCCCGCGTGCCTTAGCACCGCTGCTATGACTCCATCCCAGGGGAAACACTGAGCTTTATTTTCATAACATCATTTTTTTGTTATATTTCTTCTAAAATTAAAATAAAAAACCAATATTAAAATAGCTATATTACCTAGCTTGGGGAAGGGGTTGTATTTGTTTTACATTTGTGAAGTTAGTATGTTTACAAGATTTAACTGAGATTTAAATAGTACATTTTCTTGATAAAAGCTCAATAATTTACTATCATTTTTGTTTTCTTTGATTATTAATTATAACATTAAAAAAAAAAAATGTTTGTTCTTAATTATTTACTTTATCCTAAGTTTACAACCTTGGTCCCGACTCCCAAATGTATATTTTTTATGACCCTAATACGCAGTTGTTTATCATCACATTCTGGTTCTGTTTTTGTCTTCTTCACAGCAGCTTCACCAAACTCTCATATTCAGTGTGAGGTTTTCTTTGTTTTAAAGGTTGCCTCCAGAGCTTCAGAAGAGGCTTCAGTCGCTCCTCTCCTCCCCTGCCGAGCAGTTTCAGGTGCTGAGCTCAGCGGTGCTCAGAGAGACGCTGCCACCTGCTGCTCACTCAGGGAACTACAGCCAGGAGAACATCGTCCAGCTGAACAGCCATGCTGCCGCCCTGCTGCTCTCACAGGTGAGCAGGGACTGTGGATCAGATACCTAAACACTCATTAGAATAAAACACAATAGAGACACAGACCCACTGATGATTTTAATTAAAGATTATCTTGTTTAAAATACTATAAGAGACATAATACATGTTAAAGAGTATGTGTCTAAAGACTGAGAGAAGATAAGATAAGAAGTACTTTATTGATCCCAATTTGGGACATTGTTGTGTTGCAGCAGCATAAAAAGACAGGTCAGCTTCACTCATCGTTACTTTGAGACATATTTAAGAATCTAGGAGGCTATCTAAATAATGTCAAAATCCTTGAACACGAAAGACTTGTATAGGTTAAGACAGGTAAATGTTCAATAGTTGTTTTCTTTGTGTGTGAAGGTCAAATTTTTAGAATAAATATGTCTGGTGGCATTGAAAACACTCACACACACACTATTCAAAGATTAATGTTTAAACTTAAACCCCAACAGGCAGGATCCAGGGCAGACGTGTCGTCTCTCTGCACTCAGCTCCTTCGGGGTCTGGAGAGCCGTCAATCAGAGGGGCCGACCAACTCGCTCTCACACACTCTGCCCATCCTCAACACCATCCTCACACACAACCCCGAGTGCCTCACTGAAGGTAACACACAGTGTCTTCCGCTGTTTTTAAAGGGGACCTATTATGCAAAATCCCCTTCTTCACGTCTCAACTACATCAACATGTGTCCCCTCTTCTTCATGTCTCTTCTACATCAACATGTGTCCCCTCTTCTTCATGTCTCTTCTACATCAACATGTGTCCCCTCTTCTTCATGTCTCTTCTACATCAACATGTGTCCCCTCTTCTTCATGTCTCTTCTACATCAAC